AATGTACTAAAGTATCGAAAGTAAAAGTACTAAAAGATTAATTATGACTCTAATGTCCTATTATCGTTTTTGTAACAAGACTCGCTTCATTAACTCATTTTAAGTGAAAATACTCAGTGTCACTCTTGGTAAACCAGCCTTATAATAGAAGGTCATTAATTAGTGACGCTGATCTATTAAAGTTATCATAAGCACAAAACACTGAAAGCAAACAGTTTCCTTTAGGTAGAACTGAGTGGCTCTGAAATCACTTTTTACAAACAAGCAAAGTTTCAGTTTAAGATTTATTTCCAACTTAGTTACAAGTTTAAGTTTAATAAAAACTTTAAACTCAGATTCACAAATGAGTTTCCTTTACTAAACTGCATCTGTAGGTCTCTGTTCATAAACATAAACTAGACAAAACTAATTTACTATAAAATGAAATAGTGTTTGTGCTTTGTTTGTTTGTTTGTGCTTGCACTGGGTCGGTATGACCAACAGGTCAAAACAAGCTCTAAACAAAGTGTGCGCTGTGCCCTGATTGGTGTTCTTGCTTTGCGCTTCTTTCGTTTTGACATGTTACGTTTTTTTACACACAGAAGCCAAAAGGAATGACAGATTTCTCATAATCTATAAGATATTAGACTTTGAAATGTAGCGGAGTAAAAGTAAAAAGTCACCAAAATGGAAAAACTTCAGTAAAGTACTACTTAGGTACTACTACTTAAATACAGTAGCAAATTACATTTACTTAGTTACTGTCCACCCCTTCCATGAGCTCTACCAGAAATGATTAACACAGGGATGCTGTCAAATCTCACAGTTTACTAACCGTTCACTTATATTATTTACACATGAGAGCAATTTATACAGTAGAAGATGACACTGCATTGCTTTCGCATGATGGGATTTCACTTCAATTCATTTTTAAGAATGATATCCAAACAGCAATACTCATAACAGTTGTTCCTATTATGCTATTATGTTATGTTACTTGTTACTGTGACGTAACACGTTTTGCCACCATATAGAACTAATGTCCAAAGAGATGCCTGAGGAGAACCAACAGCACCATCTCAAACTCCAGTCAGCCCACTTAGGGCCTGGTCCACCCTCTACCAACTGAGAAGCCCTAGAGAGGTGTTAGAACTGAAACACCAAAACCACCAGACCAAAATCTGTTGTTTTGCTCCTGTTTTCCTCCTGCTGTGAAGCTGGTCACACTTTTACAAGCTGCATTTTACACTTTATAGTGTCCATATTTATATACTTACGTTTACATATGTTTACACACTGTACTGTGCTGTTCTTTCAGGATGTCATTTGACATTCTGCACACTGGTTCTAAACCCACTGTGATATGACTGAACACAACACTTACCTGAGAACAGCCTGAAGATGTTTCCTTTGACTGTTCACTCATGTATATGAATAATGACGAGAAACTTTAACTGAATTACTTTGTGAAGCATCTGATTACAGAGAGGAACCATGCAGAATCATCAATATGGGAGTGCATAGTTTATATTGAACTGTTTACACCATGCATTACATTTACATCATTTAGCAGACGCTCTTATCCAGAGCGACTTACAAAAAGTGCTTTGTCTATCCAGAGAAAGTATCTTCGCTAGCTACCAATAGGTTAGAGAGAAAGCCAGTCCTGAGCTCAGATACTGCTAGAATCAGAAAGTCATTGACACCTAGTGAAAAAGGAACAGAGTTAAACACAGAACAGTGCAATACAATACAATACATAAGTGCTGTACAATACATTCCAATCAATACTTAATTCAGTGCTCATTTAAGTGCTGTATAAACAGGTGAGTCTTCAGTCTGCGTTTGAAGACAGCGAGAGACTCTGCTGTACGGACAGCCAGTGGGAGTTTGTTCCACCACCTGGGCTCCAGCACAGAGAACAGTCTAGATGCTTGCCTTCCGCGCACTTTGAAGGATGGCGGGTCAAGCCGAGCTGTACTCGAAGCTCGAAGGGCTCGTGGTACAGTTCGAGATTTGACCATTGCCATCAAGTAGGGAGGGGCTGGACCATTTCTGGCTTTGTAGGCAAGCATGAGGGTTTTAAATCTGATGCGTGCAGCTACAGGAAGCCAGTGAAGGGAGCGCAGCAGTGGGGTGACGTGGCTGAACTTTGGGAGATTGAAGATGAGTCTTGCTGCTGCATTCTGGATGAGTTGCAGAGGCCTGATGGCCTTGGAAGACCAGCCAAGAGCAAGTTGCAGTAGTCAAGCCTTGAGATGACTCGAGAGAAAGGGTCGGATCCTCCGGGTGTTGAACAGGAGAAATCTGCATGACCAAGTTAGGTTCGCAGTGTGAGTCGAGAACGATAACTGGCCATCCAGAACCACACCAAGACTTCTTGCCTCTACAGATGGAAAAATCAGAGAGTTCTCGAATGAGATGGCAAGATCATGATGAGGACCTGTAGCTGCAGGGATGAATAGTAGCTCAGTCTTGGTTTCTCATTAGAGAAACACTATATTCATTCCTGTTTTATTATTATCTGTTCCTGTTTGTTTGCACCTGATACTAACATTTTAGGAATTAAGTTTCAGCCTTAAACTCATCACTGTGATTCTTCCACTGCCTGGCTCTTTGACTTGTTCACCAACTTGGCTGAAAGAAGAAGAACTGTATTTGAAATGTTCAGTGCGTACTAAGCTTGAACTGATGAAGGGGGAAAGGTGACAAGCAAGCTTCTGAAGATAGGAGGAGTAGAAAGAACAATCAGTATTTGGGGAATTGTTTTGGCATCAGTTTATGTGATGTCAACTATTGATAGACTGAGCCAATCACAGCAGCTGCTACACAGAACCTGCTGATTTACATTTGTGTGCCTTTTTACTCTGAATGTTTATTTTACACCCAGTACAAAACACGCAACACAGAAAATATATAAACTCAGAGACTCGTGTGGGTGTTTGGAGCAGCCTTATTTGTCTCCTTCAGTATTTGGACAGCTGGTAAGATGGTGTCACAAAATTGGTTTCTGGGTAACGGAGTAGAGGAGGAGGATTGGTAAGAAAAAGCTTTAACGTACAGGTGTGCTCCTCTTACTTGTTTGAAACCCCATATGGTGCAAATAACATGTCCTGCCATGAAAACGAACATCCTCTCAGGGGTCAATATGTCAGACTGTGCAAACAAGTTATAGAGGAATTATTTAATTTATTTAATATTTATTTTATTTAATAGGTTTCTTTTAGAAAATAATCCTATTATTATGACTCATGGATGTGAACTTTAATGTTGCTAAAGACTGACTCTACCAAGAGTAACCCAACAACCAAGAGTGTTTAAACCTGTATGAAGAGTACGTCTAGTGCTAATTACTCTGATATCCTGCACATCCTATTTCAGTCTATTTCACACACAATGAAAATACCCTCCAGAACAACACATATCATCAAGGACATTCATTTAAAAGTCTTAAAAAGAAAACAATTCAGATTCAGATTCTGATGTGAGAGGGTTAACGAGCTCCTCCCTAACATCTGCGGCTATCATCAGCTAGGCACTTTCTGGACTCCTTATAAGGCAGCATTGCTTCTGTGCTGTAGCTGTTCAGGTCAGTTTCTTGGTTCATTTGCATGCACTTGTGGGTTTCCTTCAAAAGCCACATCCTTCATGATTGAGTCTAGCTTCCTGTTAATGTGCCTCTGCTTCATGCAGCTGTTTCTGCCTTCATCTCTGAAACCTGGCTTGTAGCTCCAGACATGCTTCAGATTATTTAGTGAAATGTTATCTCTTATTTACTGGCCACTTCATTACAAACCCTTCTGTTGGAGCTCCACTTTGCTAGTGTACAGTTATAGACTGTACATCTGTTGGTCCACAATGTGTGTTAGCCATCCTCTAGCCCTCCATTAATGGTCAGTTTCTGACCATAGACCCTTTTAGGCTGGATATCTTAAGTTGGGTAGTCCACCCTCAACCTAGCAGTGACACTGACTTGTGTGAAAACTCCACCACAGTGTTGTGGAACCAAAAAGTGAAACCTTGACTGCTGAGAAAGCCAGGACACTCCTGAGGCCATGGCAAAAAGACAAACTGGACATAGCACTGGGCTATTCCACCCATCCACACCAAAGTCCATGAGTGCAGTTCAAGTCTTTTACAAGACTCTCCAAAGACCCTGTAACCTCATCCCAGGGTGCCTAAAACCCTAAACCAGGGGCTGCTGAGGAGCACAAATACAGAGGTGGTCACACACATGAGCTCCTACACTGACAGTAGCCTATGACAGTGGAACTAACAAAATTCCAGTTTCCCACCCCAGCTCTTTTCTCACAAGCACCACAATGCCATTCCCATTCCTGTCTATGGCCTCCAGGGGTGCTATACCATCTTCTGCGTTCATATGAATAATAGTTAACTAATGAATCCGGTGAGAGAAGGAGTCATGTTCCCTCCTGGTTCCCTTTCTTCAGGGAACACTATTTAAACTCATAACCTCATTTACTTCATATTCACATGTTTTCTTAAGCTGTGACTGAATGCACAGCCTGTGCTTTACCAAATAGTTCACTCAACTTTTCTCAGAGCAAGAAAAGTTTATCTATATAACACATTTCATATGAAAAGGCAACTCATACATAAACAAATGCATAAAATCCTTTGAAGGAAATTGAAGTACCTTTGTGCATTAAATTAAATTACAGTACAGTCACATTTAGCATCAAAACTATGAGAACAGTTATTTTTAAATTAAACTAAATTAATGTCATTAATTCCTGACATCTAGATTTGATCCGATAATATACCAAAACCTTAGATCACTACACCACTTTAACAGTTTGCTCTGACTAACTTATTGAAATCATTTAATCTGATAACAGTATCATCATAATCAAATTGTCCATCTCTGCTCAACAGAGCTGTAAATTGCTTCATACGTTTGCACTTTAAACTCAGTTCAGTTCATTTCTAATCCAATATTCCGGTTTCCAGAGATCAGAACTGCTCTCTCAGTAAAAGGGAAAACAATGAACACAGTGACAAACAGTGAAAAATCAATTTATTAAAACTTATTCCAATATTACAAAATTCAAATTTATGACAGAGGATTATCAGGTGATGGAGTAACAGCATCAGAACAGCACATTTCAGGATCAGTGATGTCACCAATACAGCCTATAATGGGTCCATATGGAAGCTGCTGGATGTTGTGAATGAAGCGCCTGGTCACCTCTCTGTTAATACCTTCACTTAGTCTTTCATTTAAAAAGGTACTGAAAGACTGTTCTAAATTTGTAGCCCACCAGTTCAGAAATTCAGATTTAAACGTGCCACAGATGGAATTACAGACACTTTGATGAATCTCTTCACTAATTAAAGCCCTCAGTGATTTCTCAAATTCTTCTGATGTTTCCATTCCCTTCTTTTCAAACTCTTCAAACGTGTTTGGCTCCTGAGTGCATTCAGGATTAAATGAATGTATTTGTTGAAATAATACATTCCGAAGATCTTTGGGAATGTTTTCTTTAACAAGATAGATTAATTTATTTTTTTTGAACCTAGATGATATTTTCATGAGGAACCAGGATTGACGGTCACGTTCTCTGATGAGTAAGTTTCTAGCTAATTCCAGTTTCTGGTCGTACGTTTGTTGGTAAAGAGTTCGCTGAAGCAACAGGAATTTAGAATTATCTTGAATTTCCATTTGAATATCTGTTTCATTTGGAGTCATGGGCAATAATGAGTCAGTTTTCTTATATCTAGAGGACTTTTTCATGAGGAACTTGGATTCATGGTCCTCATATTCGGCGACTGTGTTCATATTTAGTACCAGATCTTGGTCACCATCTATGATTTTAGTTTGCTGATTGTAAGAGTGCTGACCAGAAAAACCATTGTGATCGTCATCATTTTTTGCTTTAATAATGGAAGTCTTTGATTCATTACTTAACATTACTCCAAATAAATCAGTTTTCTTATATCTAGAGGACTTTTTCTTGAGGAACTTGGATTCACAGTCTTCATCTTCGGCGACTGTGTTCATATTTAGTGCCAGATCTTGGCTGCCATCTGTATTTTTAATTTGGTGGTCATAAGAGTGCTGACCAGAAAAACCATTGTGAGCGTACTCATTTTTTCTTGTATTAACTGAACTATTTGATTTATTTGGAGAAATAGGCAGTAATGAATCAGTTTTCTTATATCTAGAGGAATTTTTCTTGAGGAACTTGGACTGGGGGTCCTTGTCTTTGTTGTTTAAGTTCTCAGATGGTTCACTGATATTTTTGATGTATGTGGAATCAGTACTTTTAGAACTGAAGGAACATTTTTTGTAAGTATGATCTGGTAAACACTTACAAATTGGTCCTGTGGCACCGTAATGTTTTGAGAAAGTGATGTAAGTTTTAATCCCGTAACGTCTGCCCAGCATATCAGATAAACAGATTAACCGAATCATGCAGGGCTCAGTATTTTTTCTCCCCATACAGGGGCTGTACACTGTGTAAATATACAGTTCAATGTATTGTTTAAGCCCTTTTCCTACTTCTTGTATTTCAGCACAAACCAAATCCTCACTGTGAACTTTACCTTTATCTTTTGGGAAATATGGACCAAAGGGTTTCGTAAAGGACCCATCTTTCTTTCTAAAAAAGAAAAATGCATATTGATTTTTCATCTTTACTTTGATCTTATCGTCCTTTGACTCCATCAACAAGAACATTTTTGTATTTTGCTTAAAAATAATATTTTTGGTATCACTGTCAAAATGATCATCAGTTTGTGTAGTAAAGGCTATATAATTGATTGTCCGTAGAATTAGAAGCATAGATAGTTTCTTGATGGAGAGATCTGGGAATAATACAGAATCAGTATCAGAACAATAATAAATGAACTCTGCTCTGCTCCAGTTTTCACAGGGCATCTTCAGAGGCTTCACTCCTGGCAGTTCAGTCCTGTAAAACATTAATGAGCTGTATGAATACACAACCAGAGAAAAAAGGGTAGTGTGATCGTAGTGCTTAGTGATAAAAGAGTAAAACAGAAACGTAAATCCTGAAATGTAGTGGCGATTCCATCAGAATGGAAATCAGTTTTGGGTATTTTTAATGAATATAATCAAATAAGATATTGTGTCCCTGTAACCCTGTTATCAGATGGACTGGGACTGAAATGTTATTGAGCTGCTAGTGAGCAATGAGGGTGAAAAGGGGAGGGGTGAGAACAGCCTGCTGTGAAAAACTATTCACACCCCTCCACAGAGACGGCCAAGCCGAGATAAAACGGACACCTGCAGCTTCTTCACATCTAACAATCCTGAACAACTGACAGGACACATTAAAGACAAGAAATATCTCTGAATGATGACTCGTTCACTCACTCACAAACACTCTGCTCCTGGATTGGAACATTATGCACAGTTCCATCTAAATACACTCCCTCAACACGTTTAAAGGGATTTAATGGTTTTGTGTTAATCCTGCTAACAGAACCATCAGTAGTCATCAATAACAGCAAATAATTAAATAACGATACGATCTGAAACAGGAGATGTTCTATTTACAGAAAGAACAGAACAAAATCACACCTCAAACGCTTCATTACTCAGTATCTTCACTCCCTAAACATCTTTTATGTGCTGAGAAAAGGAATGGCAACATTAAAGAGTGCTAAATGCTTTACTGTCCCAACATTTTTAAAAATAAGAATCAAAATTCAAATAATTTTTTTGAAAAAACAATAAAATTCATAATGAAAGACATGAAATAATGTTTTAGATGTGCTGTTGTTTTCAGTGTGATAGAGGTCAAAATCGTTTACAAATCACTGTTTTCAACTGAAATTTTAACCGAACACTCTCACCTTTGTTTCTGATTTGGGGTTGTAGTTCATGTAAAATGAAATATTATTGTTAGTGTTGTATTTCTGATGATGGTTCAGCTCAGTTCAGTCCCTCTGTAAGCAGTTAAACTGAGTGATTTAGAAACCTCAGATAATATTTGGAGCAGTTTTGAGGCTTTTCATGGTTTTTCATGGTTTTTCATGGTCAATTAAATAGAAATGTCTGTTGTCCAGTCAGGTTCCAGCTGAGTAACCCCACAGTTAAAGACTCATGATTAACGTACCTGGACTGCTGCTCTGGTTCCCTGTCCTCTGTAGGAGAGGGACGACGCTTCATAGAGGCCTGAGATAGAAGGAGATAAATAATATTTACTTTAATAAAAAGAATTCCCCGGTCTTATTAAAACTTATTAAAAAATCTGTCATATGATCTAAATTATGATTATATTCCATTATTTTCAGATTATTTTCAGTCTGATATGTAGGCTGGTGACCATTAATGGCCTTAAAAAGGAACCAAAGGAGATTTGGTTTCCTGTAATGAACAGGAGAGTGAGTGATATGTTCATTCTTCAGGATCTTCCTTCCTGTTCATTCCAGGATACATTATAAAGCTTCTTTGATTCGTTTTTAATAGATGAGCATCTGCCTACATATCAGACCGTTTAACTGATCTGCTCCACAACAACGTCTAACATCATCAAACCCACTAACATCAAACCCACTAATTACTGATCAGAAGAACTAGTACTCACCATGACGCGTGTCCCGGTTCTCCCGGCCTGAGGGCTGGGACAGAGCGGAGGCAGATTACGCTGGTCCTGACCAGTGTCCAAATAGGTGATCAGCTCTACAGGGCGGTCTGTATCACTGTTCATTTTAACTGCGGGTTCTGAATCAGTCAGGAATCCGCAGTTCACCCCGTCCCAGCCCTCAATAAGTCTCCTCTTAAACCTGTTTGGTGAAGTGGAGCTAATGTGTTGTATATCAGTAAAAGTGGTGATCATTCAGTAAAGGGAAGTGGTGAAGGCCCGTCTGTGTCAGGCCACCAGCGGTTTTATAGTGTGACGTCAGCATCGTTATGCTGGGTGGAGACTCTGAGTTTCTGTTTCTGATGAATGGAAAGTTACTGGTGCTGCTGTTTCATCATCATTTTCATCGTTCAACTTTAATTGTAAGCGAGTTGAAACAGGAACAGGTCATGTGGTTTTACAAATTAATTGCTGTTTCCTCTAAACCTGCAGTACAAGGTACACTTATCTTATCTTGGAGACACGACTACAGTTTAAACGCACCTCCAGCTCGGTTATTGTTAATATTTAAAATCTCTAAATCTTTGGTTGTGAAAGTAACAGAACTACTTTTTGGTTCAGTTAAATATTAGACTGACATACCTATAGAGTCCCTCAAGTTCTAGATATTAACCAGATTACTGTGATGTACTCTCAAAAATGTAGAACTGGCTCTTGTGTGTGTTAAGTAAACAAATTATCAGCAAAAGTCAAAGAAATCAAATAAAAGAAAATGGTTTGTGCATCTGTTGTATTCAAAATATGATTTATCCCACATTACTTCACTATTATATGTAAACCTTAGTCTGTTGCCATTATCAGCTGGAGACACCAGCACAGGAGACTGGGTTTTATTAGCTCGTGGCTCCATCTGTCTGTTGCTGTTGGTGTTACCACATTCACTCAGGAGGAGAGAACGTGGTAATACCAACAGTAACAGACAGATATATACATAGGTGTGTTCACTACACACACTTATGTCTATTGCTTGCACCTACATAACCTGCATATTGCTTGTACACTGTATATACTGTACAAGCAATACACAAATGTGTGTAGTGCAAACAACAGTGATCTGCATCATGTATGGGAATGAAATTGTGGTGCAGAGTCTAAATCAGGGTGTGATAACTATGTGTAAAGACAGGTGGAGCTGTGGCTCAGCAGATGATATGACTGGTCAGCTGTTTATGAGGGCAATGGCCTGAGGGAAGAAGCCGCTCCTGTGTCTGGCGGGCTTAGTCCGTGGTGGATGAAGTACACAAACCATGTTGAGTTAAAGATCCTCAAGGTAAAGTATTACTCCAGTAAAAGTAGAAGTTCCTCCCTTTAGACCTCCACTTGAGTAAAGGTACGAAAGTATTTGCCTTCAAATGTACTTAAGTATGGAAAGTTAGCTCTAATGTTCTATTATCATTTCTGTAACAAGACTCGGCTTCGTTAACTCAGTTTAGGTGAAAATACTCCAGTGTCTCTCTTGGTAAACCAGTCTTTTAATAGAGTCATTAATTAGTGACGCTGATGTCAGAACTGAGTGGCTCTGAAATCACTTTTTACAAACAAGCAAAGTTTCAGTTTAAGATTTATTTGAACTTAGTTACAAGTTTAAGTTTAATAAAGACTTTAAACTCAGATTCGCAAATGAGTTTCCTTTACTAAACTGCATCTGTAGGTCTCTGTTCATAAACATAAACTAGCAAAACTAATTTACTATAAAATGAAATAGTGTTTGTATAAATTCAGAAAAAAGACACATCAGTCACAACTGCATATGTGTACATATTTCTATATTGTGGTCTGTTTACACAAAGTTAGGTTAGTTCATCATTTATGTTGAATAGACACTCCCAACATTTTACACTGCTGCACTGACGCTGAACCGTGTGCTGCACTGGGTCGGTATGACCAACAGGTCAAAACAAGCTCAAAACAAAGTGACCGCTGTGCCCTGATTGGTGTTCTTGCTTCACACTTCTTTCGTTTTGACATGTTACATTTTTATACACACAAAAGCCAAAAGGAACGACAGATTTCTCATAATGTAGTGGAGTAAAAAGTTACTATTTGACTTTGAAATGTAGTGGAGTGAAAGTAAAAAGTCACCAAAATGAAAATACTTCAGTACAGATACACAAAAAAACTACTTAAGTACAGTAACTAATTACATTTACTTAGTTACTGTGTCTGGCAGTCTTAGTGTTCAGGGTTCTGTAGCGCCTGCCAGACGGGAGAAGTTGAAAAAGGTGTCGAGAGTGTGAGGAACCTGTAATGATCTTCCCTGCTCATTTCCTGGTTCTTGAAGAGGACCAGGAAAGAGAGTTCTTGAAGTCCTGGAAGGTGGGCTGGGGGGCACCAATGATTTTCTTGCTGACTTTACTGACACATGGACTACAGTGCAAACTAGTGGAGTTATTCTTAGGTTACAGAAGTGTGAGGTTAGGCTTTGGGCCTGCTGGTGAGCTCTGGTCAACGTGGAGGATTTTTTGCACCTTTTATGAAGACAAACACTCACAATCCCACGAAACAGAATGGTGGCCTTTCTGTGCAGCTCTGCAGTTCAGGGTGATGAGCTCTTCGTGAACTTCTGTACCCTGATTAATACAGATGTGGGGACAATTGGGGCGACTGAAGGAAATAAGTGTAGCCTCAGAAAGTCGTAATAAGGCAGTATAATGTAGCTCTGTTCTAGAGAGAGATTTTCAAAACAGTTGACCATTATAATCTCAGCCAATAAATAAACCCATTGATTGGAAATAAGGGAGACTTCTTGAGCTAAAGGTCTGGAAAGTACCCAAAATATGATGTAGCCACTTTTCAGACAACGATGGACATGGAAAAATTAATATGCAAGTCAGGATCTATTGGTGGCAATAAAAGCATAATAGTAAAGCCCAAATAATGCAAAGTTGACTAAATTGGGAGGGGCAAAGGAGGAGTAAGATGAACCCCTCCTTCACTCCAAAGAGAGAAAAACTGATGTAATTCTTTGTGTGATTCAGTTACTTCTCGAGAACTAACTCAGATTAATGATTTTTGTCTGCAACAGACTGAATCTTTATTAAACTTTCTCTGATCCCTTGAAGCTTGAATTTTTATTTTTGATTGTAATATAAGCAGTTTATTAACAGACTGTGAGGCCATTTAATGGGTTAAATCAACACGAGTAAATCAAGATTAATAAACTGTAAGGTTTCAAACACGGTCAGACGCTCGCAGATGTAACTTACAGAAAGGGCTTTACTGGTAGAAACAGAGTTCAAAGTCGTAGTCGATAACCAGGCAGAGTTCAGATCCGGAAGGCACACGAAAGAGACAAAGTTCAGCCAAGGCAACAATCCAAAAAGGGAAAAGCAGTAGCGTGGTCGAAGGCACAGGCAAGTGGTCATAATCCAAAATCAGAGACAAACGCAACCAAGTCCAAAGGGCAGAGCAAAAAGGGCAGAGACGAAAAAACGATAAGCAAAGGTCATACACGAAATACACAACAATAGAATAAACGCTCAGTAGGTCACAAACTGGATACAATACTTTGCAACTTCACTAAGCTAAAGCCCGGGCTTATATACTATACTAAGTATATCATATGACACATAACACAGGTGAATCACATCAATACTCTGGAGAGCTAGAGCGCTGATAGGAGCGCGGTGTCACATGAGACGTCATGTGACTTCCCATAGGATCCTGGGATATTGAGTCCATTCTAGTCTTATCGCTTACGGGAAGATCAGAAGTCATGTGATCTCCCAGAGGATTCTGGGAGATCGAGTCCGAATCTACAAGGGGTTTCGGAGGCTGTGTGACAAAACGTGAGAGCAGATTAAGATTAAATCTCAGTAAATTTTGTTGGATGCACATTTTGGTTTTTGAAAGGAAGCTGTGTGATTGTGTGGAAATAATTTCCATAATTCCATTAAGTTCAGAGTGTTGGATAATTATTTTGGGTAACACAGTAAGTTTGTTCAGAGGGTGCTGCTTACCTGGAGCGAAACCCCAGATAAACAGTGAGCTTCACTCAGTCTGGATTTGAGCCTCTATTTCCTCTAACAAACTGCATAATAAGTTTATTATCAGGGACCCCCAAAATGTACATTTTGAGACATTCAGAGGGTCCAAGAGGTTAATTAGGAGGTCCCGGACCCCCTGTATTTCACATCCTGCTGATGTGGTAAAGCTGAGCACACAGCTGGAAATGGACGGCAGCTTCCAGCTCTGCTTCGTCATCTCCATACTGTAAGGAGAGTTATAGCTGTCTGGCTTATATTTATCTAGAGCTTTAAACAGTGTTTCCCCGTCTTTATCCTCGAGTTTAAGGTTGTTGAAATAATGGTGTAGACTCAACACAGGTATTTCCAGGCTGAATTTGGACAGAAGCTCCTTATTCTCAATGATGGCATTTCTAGCTTGATCGATTAGTTGATTGTATTCGGTGTCTTTGGAAGGGAGATAGAAGTTTTCTGAGAGATCCTGCAAATCCATAAGGTTTTGAGAAACCAATGTATGTTTTAATTTTATATTTTTTGAACAGAAAACATGCTAAAGGGATTAAAATTATGATGCAGGGTGGACCTTTGAGTTTGCCAATACAGGGGCTGTTTAGAGAATAGATCCATAATTCACTGTATTTAGTAATGTCACCATTTTTCACTATTTCCAGTATTTCTTTAACTAACAAATCCTCACTATGCTGATTCGTGGTATTGTTTGGGCGGTATGGACCAATTCTTCTCTTCATTGTTTGATCTGTATTTGTTAGCCATGCACAGCAATATTGATTGTTTTTTATTTATTCTTTTCTTTACTTTATGCCTAAGTGATCTTCTTTGATCCATTCATTCACTTCAATGTCCTCTTTGCTGATGTTCGGCAGTCCTAGCAATTTGGCCCTGTAACACATTATTGAGCTGTATGAATATGAAACCAGAGCAGAACACACAACCTGGATCTGTAATACAGTGTTGTTATGATGTTGTTCATAATGCTGTTCAATTCATAATGCATAATAAGCATGGCTATAACGTGTAATGCATTTTTATAAATATTTACAGCCATGTTTATAATGCCTTATGAATGCATTATAACATGTTATGAATGTGTTTATAGATGCTTACAAAGGTGACATTCATAGAAAGTGTTACCGAGATATCTAGTGGTAAGTATAAAAAAATCAGGAATGTGTCTAATGTTTGATCCAAGGATCCCTAGAAGAAAGAGAGGGAGAGAGATAGGGAATCATATATTTTTTCAAGGTTAATTACATGCTT